ATAAAACAACCCAACTCGCAAATTATTATATAAACACATACAGTGAATCCAAAATAAGAGGTTAGGCTGCATATGTAGTCATTGGCACACTCTTTTAATTTCCATTAACTTTAAATGTTCACCATTTTCCAGGAAGGACCCTCATGAATAGAAAGGTTTTGTTAGTGTAGGTCAAATGTTGATTTCAAGACAATTATAACCTCACATTATATATACATATAATAATTTCCCAGTTTGCAATTTTACAAAGATTGTCACATTTCTTGGCTGAATGAACTAAGTATTCTGCAATAAAATAAATACAAGCTTTCATCTATATACTACTCTTTTTGGCCATTTCCATTTTTAAAAAAATAAGTAGAAGTACATTGTTATTTAATACAAAATAATATAAGAAAACTGTGATCTGAAAAAAAAAAGTCATAAAATATAGAGTAGACTGAGACTGAGGATACATGTATTCAGGCTAATTTCATAAATTGAACCAGTAGTGTGACATACAATCTGTAAAAATTTAATATTATTTTTAAAAATAATTTTTTCTCTAGTATTTGATGTCACAGATACAAAAGAAAAACTATGTTGCAAATATGACTATATCAGACAGTAAGTGTTTCATGAGGACTGTTTGTATCAACTCTAGAAACTTACAGTTTCTTTCCACTTTCAAAAGGCAGGATAAAAGCAAAGTGAGTGATCCTTTAAACCAGTGGTACCATAAAAATAGGTTTGTCAGCTGACAGATGTCTAATGCTTGCTATCTACAATCATGGCCAATGACAGAATCCCACTGAGCTTGGAAAAGGCATGTGAGCCAGAGATTTAATATAAGAGAGCAGTGGCAAGTAGCAGTCCTCTGTAACCCTATCCCAGGTCCCTAAAAGACCTTAGAGAAATGACACAAGCCAACCAAATGAGAAAGATGGTCGCTAAATTACTACACAGGTAATTTGTTATTTAATTTAATCTTTAATCCTTAACAATACTTGTATGAGGAAGCTGTTAAAATACCCATTTTATGGCTGAGAAAACTGGGAACAGAAAGCTCAAGTACTTGCCCTAAAGCAAACAAATTATATGCAGCAGAAATGAGTTCATAACTAGGATGACATCACAGCACCTGCTTTTAGTAACTACAAGACCCAGCTTTTTGGGTGTTTATTGATGTGAAGAAGTTTCAGGATCATTTGAAATAAAATTTAGGAGGTTCTGTGAATTAAATGAAATGAGAGGTAATAAGTTTCTTGCTTTGTTTTGCTTTGTTTTTTTGCTTTTGTTTTTGAGTTGAGTCTCACTCTGTCACCCAGGTGTGCAGCGGCACACTCATGGCCACCGCAGCCTTAACCTGCTCAGCCTTCCAAGTAGCTGAAACTACAGGTGCATGACCACAACCAGCTAATTTTTTTATTTATTGTAGAGATGATGTCTCACTAAGTTGCCTGGGCTGGTCTTGAACCCCTGGGCTCAGGCAATCCTCTCACCTCTGTATCCCAAAGTACTGGGATTACAGGTGTGAGCCACCGTGACCAGTCACAATAGTTTTGTATTAAGGGTGGTTTGTAGTCTAGAGTGAACTAATGACTTCAAGAGAGAATAAAGAAAACATATAATGTATAAGTCCTGATCTCAGTAATATCACAGAATTTTCAACTAAGACTCTGAACAGGTAAAGGTAGAAATAAACCCTGGCTTGTTCACAAGCAGATTTCGTATCATGGTCATAATTGTAGTTGAGCTCTGAAGCTTTAGGTCTACACTGGGGTGCTCTGCTTGAGGGGTGAGGGGTGGGAGGTGTGCAGGACACCTGCTGAAACATATATGATTGTGAAAGGCTTGTTCCTGGAATGTCTGGGTCTGGGAGGGTATTCCTCACACTTTAACTGAACATGTGGGTTGGGGGGTGGAGAAGGAATGTGGGGGAAATGGTAAAGGAGTGCCAGTCTCCAAAGTTAACTGGAAGAATGCTAGGAAAAAACTATCCTGACTGGGCTCAGTGGCTCAGCCTGTAATCTCAGCATTTTGGGAGGCCGAGGCAAGTGGATTGCCTGAGCCCGCGGGTTCAAGACTAGCCCAGGCAACTTGGTGAGAACTCATCTCTACAATAAATAGAAAATTAGCCGGGCATGGTAGCGCACACCGTAGTTCTGGCTACTTGGAGGCTGAGGCAGAAGGATCACTGGAGTCCAGCAAGTCGATGCTGGGGTGGCTGTGAGCGTGCCACTGCACTCCAGCCTGGGCAACGGAGTGAGACTCCAACTGAAAAAAAAAAAGAAAAAAGAAAAAAGAAAAAACTATCCTTTACTGAAGGTTACCTTAAAGGGATAGAGTCATTAGCTATTTGTTTTTGTTTGTTTGTTATCAGAAGCAAAGCCAATTGATTGCTGTTGCAGACCAATGCATGTAAATTGTGTGTATGCATATATGTACCTAGGCTTAGATATGTACACTTTCAGCTCAATGATTTCATTTGCATCAACTCCAAGATCAAGCCATACTATTTGGAAAATGTGTGTAGAGTTCTTTGTAGTGATTGAAATTGTAATTATTATAAACACTGTATTAATATATTCCAGAACAATCGAAATTCTGAAGTCATGGACTATTTTCAGCAAGTTCAGAGATTCTCTAGAATAGCAAAGACAAAAACTGCTGAGACCCAAGTTACCAATATTTAATTATTGAAATGACTTGACCAAATATTAAAGGTCTTTCTTGTGAAGACATAACAGAACGCTCTTAACTTTTAAAACATTTAGCCTAACCAATGAAATCAGGTCAGGATATTTCACAAACATTTACTGGGCACCCACTTCGAATCCCACAGGTACTGAGGATATATTTGCAAAAACAGATTAAAACAAAAACAAAAGAAAAATTCCTGCTCTCAGTGAAACTTCATCCCCTGAAAACATTTCTAGCACCCCTACAATGGACCAGACACTGTACTAGTGTTTTACATGGAGGATCTCATTTAATCTTTAAGAAACCCTGTGAAGCAGAAATTATTTTCCACCATGTTAGAATGGAGGAAATGGAGATGTGGAGAGGGTGAGTCACTTTCCCGAGGTCATAGTGAACAGAAAGAGAAAGGGGCTCACAATGGCAACTGTTAGAGAAACTGCTTACCTTATACTTCAGACCGCCTTTGAAATAGCTGACAAAATCAGTAGACTCGTAGCCTTGAAGCTCTCTGCTCTGCACTGGCTTGCCACCCAGGTAGTCATCCATCTGGACAGTGAAGATGGCGGCGGCTGTGCTTTCATCCTGGGAGCACTCTTTTCCTAAAACAACAGATTACAGACCTCAACGATCAAGCGAGAAAAATGATTACAGAAGAATTTCTTTTTTCCCCATTTTAAAATCAACTTTATTTAGATAGAATTTACATATAGTAATATGTATTCACTTTTTAAGTTGAGTGAATGGCCCATGCCTGCAATCCCAGCACTTTGGGAGGCTGAGGCAAGAGGATTGCTTGAGCTCAGGAGTTTGAGACCAGCCTGGACATACAGTCAGACTTCATCTCAACATAAAATTAAAAACTTAGGTGTGGTAGCACATGCCTTTAGTTCTAGTTATTCAGGAGGCTGAGATAGGAGGATCCCTTGAGCCTAGGAGGCTGAGGCTGTGAAGAGCTGTGATTGTGCCAACTGCACTCCAGCCTGGACAACAGAATGAGACCCCAATTCAAAATAATAATAATGATAATATTAAATATTTATTTTAATGGTGTAGTGAGTTTTATCAATGTATAAACCCATGTAGTCAACGATCACAATCAGTTTTCAGGAAAAAAAAAATATATTTTACATGGAGGATCTCATATATATATATCATATATATATATATATATATATATATATATATATTTTTTTTTTTTTTTTTTTTTTTGAGTTGGAGTCTCACTCTTGTCGCCCAGGCTGGAGTCCCAGCAGCATGTTCATGGCCACTGCAGCCTCCACCTCTTGGACTTAGGTGATCCTTCTGCCTCGGCCTTCCAAGTAGCTGGAACTACAGACGCATATCACCACGTCCGGCTAGTTTTTTTTTTTTGTAATTTATTAGAGAGACAAGGTCTCACCAAGTTGCCCAGACTGGTCTCAAACCTGCGGGCTCAGGCAGTTCTCTCACCTCGGCCTCCCAAAGTGCTGGGATTACAGTCTAAGTCACCACGCCTGGTCAGAATATATATTTTTTAATTTGCTGATAAAAGAGGAGAAGCTCTCTTTGATCCCAGATAAATACCACCTACAATGAGTGTGAAATAAATCAACTTTAATCCAAAGTAAAATTTCTGATATGAAAGAAATCAGAAATGTTCATTTTGATTATAAAGCAATACAACAAAGTCTTTTACAGAAAGATCTTTTAGCTGAAACAGTGTATTATTTCACTAAAAGCTAAACAAAAATTGCTTTTGTTTCTGCTTTTTCCAATTCCTTAAAAATTTTTTTTGAAGGCCAGACACAGTGGCTCAAGCCTATAATTCCGGCACTTTGGGAGACCGAGGTAAAGAGGATTGCCTGGGCTCTGGGGTTCGAGACCAGCCTGGGCAACTTGGTGAGACCTCATCTCTACAATAAAAAAAAAAAAACACACAAAAAAAAACTGGAGGTGGTAGTGCGCGCCTGTAGTTTCAGATACTTGAAAGGCTGAGGTGGAAGGATTGCCTGAGCTCAGCAGGTCGAGGCTGCAGTGGCCATGAGCATGCCACTGCACTCCAGCCTGGGCGACAGAGTGAGACTCCAAGTCAAAAAAATTTTTTTTTGTGTGTGGAGAAACACTGCTGTCTGAATATACTTGGGAAAATAAAGCAATCTATTCCAGTAAGATTTAGGTAAGCATCAATTTGGTACAGTCAATAATAAGATCGGTCTATGAAAACATTTGAAAATTGGTTTAGCGTTTATTAAGATAAAAGAGTCTCATTAACAAGGGTACCTGCATAAAGAACATCTGTATACCTAACCCTTTAAAATAAAAAATTAAACTCCCTCCCCCCAAAAAAGATGAATAGTCTTCTGGTATGTCGATTAATATCTGTGAGGAGTATGAACATCACGGACCATAATTAACTTCAGGAGAGTAAGTGGTTTTTACAATGGGAAAATGTATATAGTCTGATCTTACTCCTATTTTTGAGTCTGTTTCATCTACTTTACTATCTTCATTGTTCTTGTTTGAATAAAATAATCTCTGAAGGAAAAGGGAATGTAAAGGAATTAGTATTCTAACTTTTATTAAGTGTTAATGTACTTGATATTGTCCCTAGAATTTAGATTTAGCCCACAACGTACATGTAATTTTCACAATTCTAATACACTTCACATCCAGGCAACCTCACTGATGTCAAAACAGTGAACCAGAGCATGCAGTGTACATGAAGGGCAGAGAAAGGACAGCCCTGAGGAGTACTCAAATTTTAATTAAAAAAACAAACAAAAAAAAACACTTCAGCACTTTGGGAGGCTGAAGCATAAGGATTGCTTGAGTTCAGAAGTTTGACACTAGCCTGGGCAGCATAGTGAAACCTCATCTCTACAAAAATAAAGAAAACTAGCAGGGCATGGTGGTGCATGCCTGCAGTCCCAGCTACTCAGGAGGCTGAGGCGAGAGGATCCCCTGAGCCCAGGAGGTCAAGGGTGTAGTGAGTTGTGAGTGTGCCACTGCACTCCAATCTATGTGACAGAATGAGAGCCTGACTCAAAAAAAACAACAATAAAACAAAAAAAGCACTTCATAACCCTTACTACATTTGAGCTGTATAAAAATCTTAAGTGGTCCTAGAAATAATAATAACTAACATTTATGGGCTAGGCACAGACACTCATTTAATCTTCAAGCAACTCCAAGAAGTCAAACAATTTTGCACCATGTTATTATGCAATGGAGGAAATGGAGTCTTAGGGAGACTGAGCAACTTTCCCAAAATGACCTTTGGCAGAAAAGGACCCAAAAGGAGGGTTGTGTGACCCTGAAGCACAGGTTCTTGGAAGCTACAATACACTGGTAGGTACTTTTTGTACTCAGATTCTCATTAGCGGTGAAATTCTGTGGTGATCTGGATGTGCTCATTTCCCCCATGGATAACTGATGTATAAAAGTTTGGAAGCTGTAACAATTTAATAGTTCAACTGAACAACCCTGATTGAGAGTATTCTCCCAAGTTGAAGAAAGAAAATCAGTTAGCTATATTTTTTAAAAGAATCTGATTTCTTTACAAGTCCCCTCTCACTCTCAAAGGAGACCAGTGTAGCCAATATCGTCTCAGGAGAAAAATCAGTAGCTAGCAGGTTAATTGTCTGATAACAATTATGCAAACTTGCTGTGGTCAAAGATAAGCATTTGGCACACGGGCAAATTTTGGCAGTCTGAAGGGACTCTGGTGTCATTCTTCTGTGTAGTTTTCCAACCCTGAGAATGCCAATAAAGACATAAATGTAGATTTTGTACACAGATGCTTTAAGAGTCAATCTTAAATCCAGGTTAACATCAAAGGTGTTAAAGATGATGTATTTGATGCAAACAGTCTTACTTGACTACAAGTTGACACCTGAATCTCTTTAAGGTAGACGTAAACGGACAGGCATGAAGTTAATGAATGAACTAGAAGTAAGTTAATTCAATCATGCTATCACTTGTTGATGTTTATGTAATGTGCTAGGCCAAAGAGCATCAGTATGAATAAACTCACCTGTCTGAGAAAGGCTGATGGACCTTAATGATGCCAGTATCAGCCTTTTTTTTTTTTTTGAGTTGGAGTCTCACTCTGTCGCCCAGGCTGGAGTGCCGTGGCACGCTCATGGCCGACGTAGCCTTGACCTGCTGGACTCAGGCAATCCTTCCACCTAAGCCTTCCAAGTAGCTGAACTACAGGCATGTGCTACCACGCCTGGCTAATTTTTTTGATTTATTGTAGAGATGAGCTGTCACTAACAGGGCTGGTCTCGAACCCCTGGGCTCGGACAATCCTCTTCTCACCTCAGTCTCCCAAAGTACTGGGAGTATCAGTCTTTGGATGTGAAAATCAGAATTACATTCAGTTGTATCATGATAGAATTCTATTCTAGAAGTGTTCAGAAACATATGATCTTGGTGTATGAATTCATTTATCGTTTCCCTACACTAATTTAACTAATGTCGTTTATGTATGTTACATTATGTTATTTTATATTATGTTGTGTTAGACTTTTATATTTGCTGCAAATTTCCTAAAATTATTTTGGGGATGTAATAATTATCTATATATTATATATAATATATACTAGATGAATATAGCACATATATAATATAGAGCATATATAATATATAATGACTACATATTATATAGGAATATATTATATATGAATATATAAAAGTAGAGGTTTTATATATTATATATTACATATAATAAACATTATTATTATATATAATAAAAAATAGAAAATCAGTTAGCTATATTTTTATAAAGAATCAGATTTCCAGCCTGTAATCCCAGCACTCTGGGAGGCCGAGGTGAGTGGATTGCCTGAGCCCGCAGGTTCGAGACCCGCCTGGGCAACTTGACGAGACCTCATCTCTACAATAAATTAAAAAATTAGCTGGGCGTGGTAGCTAATCAAAAAATTAGCTGGGCGCGCCTGTAGTTCCAGCTACTTGGAAGGCTGAGGCGGAAGGATCGCCGGTGCCCAGCAGGTCGAGGCTGCGGTGGCCGGGAGCGGCCACTGCACTCCAGTCTGGGCAACAGAGTGAGACTCCAACTCAAAAAAAAAAGAATCAGATTTCTTTACAATTTCCCTCTCACTCTTCAAGGAGACCTGTGCCGCCAATATCTGCTCGGCAGAAAAATCTGCAGCTAGCAGGCTAATTGACTGATAACAATTCTGTGAATTTGCTGTGGTCCGAAGTAAGCATTTGGCCCACAGGCAACTTCTGACAGTTTGAAAGGACTCATTCTTCTGCCTGATTCCCCAAATAACATATATTTTCATATACAATATATATTATATATATGAATATATAAAAGTAGAGGTTTAAAAATTAGGTTAATCCAACATCTATTCATGATTTTTTAAATAAATTATCCAAATTAGGAATAGAGAGGAACACTCTCAACTTGATATGCAGCATCAACAAAAGACAGTGAGTTAACACAATACTGAATGGTGAAGGACAGAAGGCTTTCCCCATAAGATCAACAACAAGACAAAGGTACCCACGCTCACAGCTCTTATTCTAAAGAGTACAGGAGGGTCTAACCACTACAATAAGGCAAGAAGAAAAACTACAGATTGGATATGAGGAATAAAAGGATAAAAAATGTCTCTATTTAGAGATAACATAATTGTTTACATAGTGAATTCTAAGACTCCCCCTCAAATAAATAAATAAATAAAAAGTGCATTCAGCAAGTTACCAGGATACAAGATTAATCAGTAACAAAAACCAGTCACATTTCTATATATAGAGAGAGAAACAATGAAAATACCAAAATTTAAGGCATAATACCATTTACATTCACTCTAAAGAAACTGAAACACTCAGGCAAGAATTTTGAAAACATGGAGAGCATATTCATGCTGAACATTGCAAAATGGCAATGTAAAAATTCAAAGAAGACCTGAATCAACGTTAAGGCTTTGTGTTCATGGATTTTAGGATGCATCATAATAATGCTGTCATTTCTTCAAAATGACAGTAAGGTCTATTACAGATATAGAAGCTTTATAAAATTTATGGAGTGAAGCACAAAAGCTAAAATAATCTTGACAAAAAGCACAAAATGGGAGGAATCACTCTACCCCATGCTAAGATTTACTATATAGCTACAGTGATTGAAACAGAGTGGTATTGGTGAAGGATAGACACACAGATCAACAGACCCAGTTTCTCCCAATAACATTTTATGAAATTATAGAATAGCACAGAATACCACAACCCTGGATATTGACATTGACACAATCCCACTACTTATTCATAGTTCCTCAGTTTTACTTGTACTCACTTGTGTATAGGTGTGTGTCATTTAGTTCTATATAATTTTTTTTTTTTTTTTTTTTT